CTATCATGCAATTTAAAAGCTATGTAAATTATATCTGTTAAATAAAACAGGAAACAGTTGAATAATTTTATGCTTTCATTCGTTAAAAACGTAAAGTAACTAGAAGAGTAGCCTTTTCTCACATAATATATTAAAATAGCTTAACTATATTAGTTATATTCGTATCATTAACTTAATTAGTTTAAACAAAAGCACCTCACATAGAAAAAGATTCAAAGAATTTTAATAGGTTATCAAAATAACAGTTGAACAAAATAATTTATGAATGCAAATTCTTTATTTGTATTTTAAATTTCTATTATATTCAAAGTCATTACTGGACTTCAATAGTTAAAACTATTGAATATATAGAAATATATATATATATTTATCTGAAAAGATAAAAATACCGTTTGACTGAGAAGTCAGTATAACATTGTCATAAGTCCTTACGATACATATAACGCAAGGTATTGCTCATATGATCCGCGTTTTATAGTCTCTGTTGCCAGTATGTGATTTCATATTGGCAATATGAGAAACTGCACAGAAGGGGTAAAAGTACCCTTTGTTAACGCTTTAAAATTTACAATGCGTCAACTCGACGCTAACAAACTACGCCTCTGCTTGGGCGCAACTGAAGTTAAAGAACTAACTAAAGATTTAAGATATGTACAAGTCGTCGAGTTAAACTACAGAGCTCAGAATAATTCCTATTTCTGAACCCCCCCCCATCGAAAACTAGTAGCAGAAAGCAAATGCAATTAAGCCACACGAACCAGCAATAACTATGAGAGCAGACGCTTAAGCAACAGAGGTTAGGCAATAGCCTAACTCTCTTTTATTCTTTCCTACTGAAACTCTGTTTTTAAAATCTTTCTTCAAGGTAGAATTTGCATTCCTTCACGCGCGTTAGCAAAATTTAAATATTCTGGCACTAACAATTAGGGGAAAGGTTTATAGGAAAGAATAACAAAGTAAATATAATTGGTTATTTAAAATAAATATAAATCCCTTACAACATTATGAAAACTAATGAAATAAGAAAGAAAAACTTCTAGAAATTTTCTTCTGGAAATCGAGTATATTTTTGTACAGCGAGTGTGTTTTTGGTATTAATTTAATAGAGTATAACGAAATGTTCTATTCTCAGAGACATTTAAACTGTAAAAAACTCTTAATGTAAGGATCGTATTACTAAGAAATGAGTTATCTGAATTTGAGTTTACAAGAAATAAGCAAAGGATGCATTTCCTGGAAATTGTTATAAATGTTTTATTTCGAGAGTAAAGTGTATCCGGAAGGTTTAAGACTTCGCCTATACGCTCTCCAGTATTGAGCACACAAGGTAATACACATCCAAACCCTTTATGAGCTCCATTCAGCATTTATTCTTGATATTTCAACCTTTCAAATACTTCTTAAGTGAGAAAGACTGAATTCAAGAGAAAGGCTGCATATAAAGGAAAATAACAGTCATTGAATCACTAAAGCTCCGAACCGATTATGGAAATTATAGAAAAGCAATTTAATCCCTTGTCAGACAGACCAACTCAACATAATCAAGCCGACACAATATATTTAACAAAGCAGTTAAGAACAATGTTGAATTCAGAAAAAAGAAAAAAACTCTAAATTGTCACTATGTTTGTAAAAAAAATGGTCTTTTGAAACAGCAGATGAGTTTAATTGTTTAAAATAGTAGAAAAGTCCTGCAAAGAAAGAAGAATTTGAGATACTCTTGTTTAATTAGTACGCACATTACACGAGACAGATTAGCTTTTTCCCATTTTATCGATGCGGAGGAAGAAGGAATCAAAAGCTTTCACTAGCAAAATTACGTAATAAGTGTAAACGTTTTAAGAAATTCTGAAAAAGTAGTGGAAAATTAATTCATGTTGCCAAGTATTTCTTCTTATTAATATATAATTTATCTTCAATTTTTGAAAATAAATCGTGATTATTGAATTCAGAGGGCATATCAGACGAGATTATGAGGTTTTAATAGAACACAGAAAACAAAAGGTCTAGTTACTGATTTGAAGATTCATAAAGACCTTTTATTGAAATTTGCTTTGTTAAAGAAAAGTAATAATTTTTCAGTAGATATTCAAAAACCCGGAAGAGACCATCAGTAACAAATTTGTTTGGGGTTGAGAGAAATGATGATGGATTTTACAGCCTTTATCAGACTTTTGTTTCAAACACTTTGTTTACGCTTTTGTTTTCAAACGAAGTTGAGCACTACTTAGTGATTGGTTGTTGTTTTTTGAGCTGCTATCTTATGATAAATGAAAATGCAAACTTTATTTGAAGAAAGACAATATGCAGCAAAAGCATTTTTTTCTAAGAAAACATGTTTTTCCAGTAGAATATAATTTAATACGCTTTTATTCCCTTGTTGCAAGAAGTTAAGGAAAAATTGTCACATGTTAGATCTACTTGCTATTATTTGGTGCATTATATTCAATAAAGATTGAGATTTTTTTAATAAAAGTTTTCATTTTAAAAACGAAACATATTTTCTAATTAATAATTATTTATGAAATAAATTTCAGTTTTACTAAAAACAACTAAAATTAGATAGTTTACAAATAAGTTGAAAATAATACATAAATGAATTGAGAATAACGTTCAGGAAGTTCAAGTGAATGCAAATATTTTTGGCTCGCGAACGAAGCAGATGAGTAGAATAATCCTGGAGCCACTGAGGTGTGAAATAAGTGGCCTTATTCTTTTATTTTAGAATTCGTAAAGCTTCGGAGGATAGCAGCATGTGGGACCAATTATTCTAATTCATAAACTGTTTCAATAAGGAAGCCGATTATCTTATTTTAGCTGCTATATTGTAAAATGCATGAAAATATCCGTTTTCTGCCCACTATGTTATAATTTTAGATAATTAGGCATCTCTTTAAGTATACGTTATTCTTTAAATTCATAATTACCAATTTCTCTTTTATTTACACGCTGCTGAATTTGTCTTTAAATCTTAGTTGTCTAAATATAATGAAAGGACGGAAACCAAATTTCATAAATGTAGGAATGGAAACCAATTTCATAAATGTTTAAAACGTGTTAAAAATTCTACGTAATAATATTGCGTAATAATATTTTTCAATACAAGCATGAAGTAATTAATACCTTCCCTAAACGACTATTTAAAATGGGCATAAGCAATGACAACAGCTTTACTTATATACTCAAATTAATTTGCATAATTTCAATCTTCAGATCCTAAAAAAAAGTAATTTATTCAAACTGGTAATAAAATCATGAAGTTGTACTTCACTTTTATGTAAATTGAAATTTATTTGAATTAATGTATAGTAATAGTAATTTGAATTAATATTATTTCTGATAACATCATAAAATCACATATAAGGGGAGAATCTCCAAAAGACGAATATATCAACGCAAAATAGTTATAACATCCTTTTCTCAGTTGTTATCATTTATATATATGCTTTGATTTACTCAAAGCATATTCATTTTTTACGAGGTGTAAAGAAAAACTTTCCGTGAGCAGTTAAATAGTGTAAGAGTAAAATTATTTAAATTCGAAATAAAAATATCAATTCAAAAGTATCACCTTACGCAAAGATTTCATTTAATTATTTTACAAGTTATTTTGCATCTACAGTCAAGCAAACAACAAAGCAATATATGTATTAGAAATCCATTGATAAAGTACTTATGATGTTCACATTAATTGCATGCATGAATAAAGTTTAATTAAGTAAATTTTATATTTTAATAATTGCATTGTAGAGACATTAGGATTTTTTCGAAGGCACAGAGATGAAAAATAAGCAAACGCCTTCGCCGAGAATCGAACTATGGACCTGTGAAATACCGGCCCAGCGTGCAGACCACCACACGACGAAGGCACGCTAAGAAGGTGGGAGAAATACCTTATACTTTCCCTTTTAAAGGGTGACTGGGGTTTTCAGCGGACCCAATCGCCAAATCCTGGGTGGGGAGAAATCATCATCCACCACCCTTTTAGTTCGGGCGCCACTGTAGAGACATAGGATTTTTTTCGAAGCTAGAAAGATTAAAAATAAGCAAACGCCTTCGCCGGGAATCGAACCATGGACCTCTGAAATACTGGCCTGGCGTGCATGCCACCACACCACGAAGGCACGTTAAGAACGTGAGGGAAATACCTTATAGTATAAATTTCGGATAACCAAATTTCTTTTACAGAGAAACAGGTAGAACTGTCTCTAATTACGTTGATTTGAAATACGTCAGCAAACGTAAGTACATGTTATATAAGCTAGTGTAAGTATTCCGTATGGTTTGACGAAAAAAAATATGAAATTAAAATTTCAAAAATAACTAAGCTACTAAAATTGAAAATATAAATTGTCTGTTTTTTCTTTTTTTTACTATAATTTCTTATGATTTTCGAAGTCACTATCTTGAATTTTTTCATTCGATATACTTAAGTAAAATATCATAGGAAAGAAAACATTTCATATCACAATTTGCTTAGTTTGTTTTTTATTACTCATGAGATTCGATTGGTTATTTAATCTTTAAAGTCGCTGCTAAATCAATTAAACGACAGGAATTCCATCCTGACGAATTTAATTTTTCTTTACACGTAATTATATTATTCCTTCAGTTTACATAAACTATTTTATACATTCTCTTTAAAAAAGTGAAAATCATCCACATGAAATCTGTAACATAAATAAACCTCTATCTTAAACTAACAGTTACGAAAATGATTTTTTATAAACCAACAGTTTTCTTTTTTAGAAAAGCACGTTTGGCAAATAAGAAGTGTATTGTAATATAATGTCTCGAATCATTTTTCTTTTGTCCCTTGAACTCATGAGGAATATATTGAATAATATTGAGTCATTTATAAAACTAAAAATTAAGTATGACATTGCGCGAATAGCTGCTCTTTAAATAATTCATATTGTAGTAAAACTTAAAGCAGTTTCCGAAAAGACTGTTGTAAAGAAATACGTATAATTAAAAGAGCAAAAGGTAAACCTACTCACCTCTTCCACTGCGTCCCACGAACCTCAAATCGTTAAACTTCGCGATTTGGTTCTTGACGACCGCTGTCGAGTTGCGCATCTCCCCGCAATAGTTTTCGTCGTTGCCCGCTCGAATGGTCACTGTTGTCCCATCGAGCACCTCTCCCAGGACAACCACCTTGAAGGCGACAGGCAAGGTCTTGTTGGACCTCCAGTGGTTAGGCAGGACAGTGCACAAGATATTAGGACTGCCCGTGCGCACCAGTTCTCCCGGGTGTTCTCCGAGAACCTCGCAAAGGCCCCGGTCCACGAACTCGGTCATCGCGGCGCCACGTGGCGGCTCGTTCGGCACATGCATGCGGGAATGGTTGGCCCTCGCGGCCGCTCTTTCGGTGCGCCGGCGCCCGTGCGAGTTGGTGCCGCGCTCTGCCCGCCGAGCCAGCCAATTGAGGCTTGTTGCGTCAAGGGTTGCCGTAGGACAGCATTTTGTCGGCGGCTGTTTCTTTTTTTGAGGAGAGATCGAGGGACTCGGAAATGTCGCCAAGAAACTGCAGTTTCAGGAAAAAGTTTTGTTTCGTTTTTACCTTAAATGCAGTCTTTGGCTTTTGGTAAAACTGACACTCGTAGTCATTTCGTGAACCATATTTTGCGTAACTATAAGTCTTTACATTAATCTGCTAACATATATTGTGTTATCATTTATTTACCTCTTTTTACATACAGTTTTTTCCACTCTTGGTCTATAAATGTATTTTTTGGCTGCATTGTTATCACTGCATTGCTTTGGTACTTCTTTCTAATCAGATGTTGGAAGATAATGTTTCATACATAACGCAGCTAGTTTTCTTAGTTTTAAAAGTTTTACGCATTTTTTTTTATTATTATTTACCTACGAATGTACTGATACTTAAATTATTGTTGTAATTTTATCTTTAGTTGTTGTTACAGTTGTATATATATGTATGTATTCAACTGTATTATTATTTATTTAATTACATGTCGTAGAGCGTACCCACTTCCATTATATATATATATATATATATCATTAGAAAGTTTTTTTATATATATCATATCCAAAAAACATAAATTTAATTAATGCGATAATTATTGGATTTATTATTTGGCAGATTTAGCACAAGTATTCGTTATTTTAAATTACTCATAATTACTTGTTTACTTGTATATATATATGAAAAGTTTTAAATTTTATTTCCGAATCTTCCTTTTTATGAAACTTTATTTCCATTTAAGCCATAATTAGCTCTTTATCTATTTTATTAAGTGATTTATTTACTATGCCATTTCTTATTTAATTACTTCCAAATTATGCAATTTCCAAAACTTCTTATATTTCTTTAATTATTTTTTGTTTTGGTTATCTAGTATACTTTGTTGAGTAATTGAGTTACATGATCAGATATAGGTGCGAATGTTTATTTAGAGATCAGTAAAATATAGTAATTTTTTCGTCTGTCAGTATATAAATTTGTGACAGATCCATCGTTAACAAAATACTTAAACAATGCAGAAAATGAATAGGAATCGGCTCAAAACTTCAAGCTCAAGTTATAGATAGCTTAAGTAGCAGCTTTTCTGTATTCATCCTCTTGCTCAAAATATTGTTTCGTCATTCAATAATAGCTGATTCCTGTCGTATGTGATGCAAAATATTTATCAAATGTTGTATGCTCTTGCTCAAAATATTGTTTCGTCATTCAATAATAGCTGATTCCTGTCGTATGTGATGCAAAATATTTATCAAATGTTGTATGATGAAGTACTATTTTGTGACTGCTGCAAAAACTGGACAAATTAAATTCATTGTTCTTATGTTAAGATAGTTTATCGCTTTTCTCTCCCGTTCTTGTGAAATGGGTTATTATAATTATATGATCTTCAAACAGCTTCCTTTAACATTTTAAAATTTCATTAGCTTAATTTTATACACTCCTTGGTTGCATATATGCGTTTAACTATTATTGAGTTTCTGTTATTTCGTTTTACTTTTGATGGTTCAAATGTACAGATGTACATTTTAACTTCGAAAAGTGATTAAATTGCAGAAGTAATCGTTGATTCAGTCTGAACGGAATATTGCTTTAAATTTTCAAAATAAGAAAACTGAAGTTGTAATATAATTTTTAATTATTATTGAAACTGAATTCTGAACAGCAATATACGATCAGTTAAGTATAAATTTAGAGTGAGATGCGACAACTTAAACATATCGCTCAAGAATTTAAAATAGCATATTTATGTCAATTGAGATTTGTACGAAGAAGGAGGTGGATTAGAATTATGTTTCCGTCAACTTCATAATTAATTTCGAAATGCCTTCCCACATGGGATTATTATCACACTGATAGTATTAACTATAAAAGGAATAATCACTATGTGAGTTGGGTTTGGAACGTAAATCCATTGCACTGAGCTGTTTAACTTTGCGCTTACAATCAGCGTGAAAAGAAAAGCTGCATGTGTTAGATTAAGCACGCTTTACAGAGAGTAATGATACATTACTTCAGTGGCAACACATTAGGTATTTAAATAATAAATATGTAATTGGCTGCTTTAACGTGTAAAACTGAGAATTATCTCAGAAAAAAAGGGATTTTCTAAAATTAAAATTGCAGCTTGAGTACAAGTGCAATAATGCATCTAATTATACCATATTTATACACATTTTTATATTTATATGTATTTATACTAAGTATCTTTCTATACTCATCGAGATATTTCAGAGTAATTTAATTTTTTAAGTCAATTAAAGATATATAAGTTACCGAGTATTAAAAACAAGATATTATTTTAAATATTCGTATGGTTCATTTTGTTCACATCTAAGGGGTATTGTCTTTATCAGAAAGTCTCATAATTAAATAAATCGATTTTATAATGATTTCTAAATACATAAAACTCTGAGAAAATAAGTGAACTGTAAAGTTGGATTTTCCGCACACATACTCTAAAGCAGGTAAAACCACTTTTACAGGGGCTGCTGAGTTTGCAGCTCATTTTTAATTTACTTCAGACGGAGGGGGGAATTAAATATAGTTTTAAACGCATGAAGAAAATTATTTATTAAATTTATGTTCGAAATTCTTAACAGTAAGTATTTAATTTATAGATCGAAAGCTTTGTAATCGATATTTGAACTTTATAATGTTTTAATCATAAAATTATTCTAACACTACGTTAGATAGCCTTATGACAAAAAAAAAAAAAAAAAAAAAAAAAAATATATATATATATATTTACTGCCAAGTATACTAAATGATTCTAATTCTCTTTCAGCTGCGTTTAGTTGATTATCATTATTAAAATTAGGCAACATTTTAACTCCTGAGGTGCAAGAATATTTTAACTCATTAATTAAGCATAGTTAAACATCATTAGGTTATTGGGGGGGAAATTATATAACTCCTCATTTCAAAAACATAGGTGTGTTTTAGAGTGCAATAGTGTTTTTGAATTATCAAGGAATTAATAAGTACATCCTGATTTCGAACATAATGCATTATACTCCCGAATGTTTGGCATAGCTAGAATTCTGATTTACGAAATAAACCTGTAATAGGGGAATAGTAAAAAACAGGGAAAAAAATTTCAAAAAAAATCTTAGCCTCATTAGATAATTTAAAATAGCGTAACTAAAATTAGAAAAGGAAAAATGACTGGTGTAAGAATTAAAAAAATCTAGTGTTTCTCAGAAATAGTCTATTCACCAAAATTAGATATGTACTTTATAATCTCCGATTAAAAATAATATTCTACATGCGTTTTAGAATAATCCGATTTTTAAACGTAATATTTTATATATAAGTGATACAGAAGTAATAAATTGTAAATTTAATTGATGTATTATATTTTATTATAAGGGATATATTGTAAATGCAGTTCACTACGTTTTACTGTAATATAGTTGTTATAAATTATCAATTTTAAATCATGTTTTAGTTTATTTTCTAGAGTGGTCGTTTTTGTGGTTGTTCTCTGTATGTAACTTGAACACGGCTTAATATCTTTTAAAAATTTCGCCGTGAAAGTACCGTCTCCTAGTAGGAATTTAGCGGTTACATGCTTTCCAGCAATTTAATATACCCAAATTTAGAATTCTATTTAAATCCCATTTTACATGAAATTTTAAAAAATAATTCTTCTGAGGTAATGCAGGTGACATTATTATACATTGAAATAAAAAAGACGTTTTGGGTTTATAAAATATTTTATGATATTTTTTCATAGTTCACAAAAAATCGCACTTCGAGTATCCGGCCGTTTGACAAATCTTTGTAGGTAGAAGTCTGAAACTTTGGCGACAAGTCGCCAAATCAGGCATCGCGGATCACGCACAGGTGTGGTTGTGGTGGAAGATGCGGCGCCGTGCACGTGACACCACGTGATACCGTATACCCGCCTCTTGGCTCCGCTGTTGGGCGGGACACCGAAAAGTTGTTCCGCGGCGGGCCCTGCGTCGGCCCTCCCGTCGAAAAGGAGGCGGTTTTTACGCGTGGGAAGTTTTCGACACGCGCTCGCGTCCACTCAGAGGAAGAAGTTGGCTGGCGGAAGAAACGGATCAACGCTTGGTTGGCTCGCTTGAGTTTGGTTTCGCACGAGCTTCGAAAACATTGCGCTCAAAGTTCCAATCTTGGGAAGTAAATGGGGTAAAACGAAAGTATGTGACAGGATCAAAGCGAATGAGTTAGACAGAAATAATATCTAAATCTTGCTCAAAATATTACTTAGTATAGTCCAATATAGTATTGGTTGCGAATTCAAAATCAATGTCACGGAACTAAATCACCTGATTTTGTGATTAAAATCCAAATAATAATTCAGCTAGGCTTCAATTGAATGAACGAAGCAGAAACGATGATTGCGTGAATCCCGTGAATTACAAAACGAGAACATTTCATTGTTTAGGATGTTTAAGGAAGCTTCACCGTGATTTTGGTCGTTTTTTGTTAATTAGTTTTCTTTTTTTACTATTAAGCGCCTATTCATCAATAACTTTTCCTGCCTGCATTGAAGTTTTTGAATATTCTTAAAAATTTGTTCATTAACATTTTACGAATTTGTTGGTTTTTGCAAGTTCGTCCACATTTTATTTTACAGTAATACACATTGTTTGTGTTGTATGGTTGGTTCTAAAAGAGTTCCTGAAAAAATCATTGAAAAAGTAGCTTATTCTAGGAACTCTTAAACTGCAGTTTCTGCAGTTTTGTATAATAGCTTCTGCTATTAAAATTTTTGTAATATTAAAATTATTAAAGAAATTAATATTAGTAGGTAGAAAATTGAGTAATCTTTTACGGAAAAGCTCTCGAACCCATTTTGTTTCTGGGCATACTTTCGTGGAAGACTATCTAATGGAAACTGATTCATACTGCATTACAATGAGATGAACCATAAATTTATTTATTAGCAACCGTTTCCTCCAAAAGAAGCTAACTCAGAAACGAAGCAGCCACTGTTTAGGGCCTTACATTTTGATTTTATTTATGCTGAATATTTAAAGGGTCTGTATTCAAGTGCATTTTAATAGATTATGTAAATATAAGTACTATTTGGCATATTATAAAATTAATTTAAGCTGCATTCATTAAGCGCTTTTTGCGTTTCTCGTCCGGGTTTTTTGGTTAAATAAAATATAGGCGTAAGTATTTGTTTCTATTTGAATTTGCAATTATGTGCCGTGATTCATTTATTTTAATGATTTTTTATAGTAATGACAGTTCTTTGAGCATTACATATGCAAATATTTTATGCATTACATGAGTAGAAATATTTCCGTTGCTGC